CTCCTTTTTGAGAGTATGCACTTACTCCCTTGAGAATGTTGCCTTTTCTTTTTCCTATTGTTTCTAATAAACTCATGCCTGTTACTCTGAGTGACCTGTCTGAAATCTTTCTAGCCTTATTGCCAGCATCTGGGTGAACAGGGGGTGGGAGTCTATGTACTTCCTCAGTTTTGTGGCAGGCCCCAGCCATAGGACACATATCTTGATTAAGATAGTGGTTTCATGGGTATAAAGATATGCCAAAGCTTATCAAATTATGTAATTTAAACATGCACATCACATTGTATGTGCATACTTGAATAAAGTTAGTAAGACAAATTTCAAATGTATTAAAGTCTAAATACTAAAAATAAAACTAAAGAAAAGTCAAGACAAAAATGAAAAAGAAGAATTGCTTATTATGAAGGTAAGTTCAGAGTATTATGTGACCACATGGAGGTGACATGCATCTATTCTTGTGAGGTCACGAAAGTTTATTTTAGCTAAGCTAAGAATGGGCATCCCATATTGGGAAAGCAATACCTGCTCAGATAGTAGAGGCTATGATTGAACTAACAGAGCAAAGCTAGTCTAAATATGACAAAGAAACATCAGCGATCAAAAATCTAAGTATTGTCCTGCCCATCATGCTTCTCTGACACTGTGAACCCCAATTTATAGGGCGTATAGTTGCCATTGAGGCAAAAGTATAATCTTGGATGATTTGATAAAACACAACTAAGTTCAAAAGAAAAGAACGGATGTGCATGGGGTGTTCAGACACAAATTCTACTGGCAAAAACTATTTCACCCCACTATCACCTTTGCTTTTACACTATTTTTATATACCAGATCCCTTTTGAAGGGAAAAAAAATGAGTGGGGAGTGCAGGTTAGAAAATACTGAACCCAGCTTGTGCTATCTGAGGGAGAATGTTGGGTGCCAGGATGCCAGAGTACCCCAGAGACCTTTTGTATAAAAATGCAGGATAGAATCTCTGTTTGGCCATCAGTCTTCCATGGACTGAGAATGTAGTAAATAATACAAAATAGCAAAGACTGTCTAGATCAGAGATTTCTAAACTTATTGTTCTAATTTTGAATGCCTAGCAGTTAAAAAGAAATTTTCACACCCCCAACTATTCATTTACTTTTTAATAAATGTAATATTGTCTTAATGTATTCTATCATTATGAAACAGAAAGATTTCAGTGAACAATGATAAAATAAAACTTTATAGCATTAAAAATTCTAACCTTTTAATCTGAGTTAGCCCTTATGTTCAATATGCCTCACCTCATACAGTTTTCTATGGATTAGTTTGTGTTGAAGTAAGATCATCTGATTTAGTCTTGCCCCACCTAAGTGTGAATTTTTAAAGCTCTGACTAGGGCCTAACCCCTGGACTCTAAAAGAATGTGTCTAAAAGACATGGTATCTCACTCTTATAATGACAAGTTCCAGTGACTAGTTCCAGGCCACCCTGGCAAATTAGCAAGACCCTGTTTCAAAATAAAAAATTGGGCTGGTGTGTAACTCAGTGGTAGAGTGCCCCTGGGTTCAATTCCCAGTATCAAAAAAAAAAAAAAAAAAAAAAGACTTCCTGAAACAGAAACTATTTCCAATTGATGTGTTTTTTATTAATAAACAAATAGAAGTGTATGTAGACAGAAAAAAGTCTTTATCAAAGATTGCAAATTAAACTTTTTATAAGCTATTATGACAAGAGAAAATAAGAGCTCTCTGGGAACACATAAGATTAGTAAAAACATGTTTTTTTAAAGAAAATTAACTGGCTCTCAGAGATGCCAAATTTGAATTATTATGAGATAGGTTGATGCAAGTGGATCTGATCAAATTGAAGCCTATGTAAAATACATGATAGCAGTTACCAAAGTCATAATGAGTTTCACTGTTACTGCCCACAAATCCTTGTACATATGCAAACACTCATTGCTAACTCTAAAAGAGCAAATATTTGTGAAGGAAGGGCTTATGCAAACTAGAAACTAATTACCAATGTTTGTTTCTAGCCAATTTTTACAAACTAAAATTCTAGCTCAGCCAAGAGAGTGTATTTTAAAATAAGCTGGATTATCAATATTTATAAGTGAGTAATCATTAGAAATGATGGAACATATTTGAAATTGTGGTAAGCCTAACTTCTTATTCTGCTTTTATTGGTATAAAATGTACATTTTCAATGAAACATTCTAGCAAAATAACCATTAAATGTCCTTAACTCCACAAAGATTCCCAACTCTAGTAAATCAATATGTATTTTATATGTGCCCAAAATATAAAATATGAGCCCACATGTTTAGGCAATATTATCTGACATTCCCATCAATTGCAGCCATGGTAATTACCACTTCTTTTCTGCTGGTGTAATGTATAATCCTTAACTTCCTGGTTTCAATACATGTCTGAGGCAGTATGGTTGGAGATAAATTCCATGCTTTCTGGAGAAATGGAGTGTACAGAAGTAAGAAAAGGTATTGGAAAGGAGAAAAGCACAAGGAGCCATTAAGCGAATAATTAATTAATCACCTAAATTACTAAGTGTCCTCGTTTGCATTTAAGGAAGAAAACCAGAATTTATCGTTTGCAGTTTTTGTTCCTAGTACTATTAGGCTGGTTCACATTTTCTAATTTAAACTTTAAAACAATAGATAAGAAAAAAAAATAATAAAAGAAGATGCAAAGTGGGGGGGTACTAAATCTTGTCCAAAGTTAAAAATATGGTTTCAAAATGAGTGTTCAAATGTCCCTCTTTTGTTTCTGAAGCCTGTGATCCTCATCTTTATCAACAGAGAGTCAAATAAATTTTAGGTTTTAACTCATTTACTTATATCAGGTTTTTATCATATCAATATTCATTTCCAGCATAAAAATATTACCACTGGCTGGAAGGAATTAGTTAAAACCTGTTAGGGATTGTAAAGATGGATAAATATGTTATATGCAAAATGAAATCTTCAAACTGTATTTCAACCTCAAAAAAAAAAAACACACAAGAAAAGAAAAACTAGACTACATTCTTCTATAAAGTTCATTCCACATTAAGAAGCACAACTATTTTAAAAAGTTTAACACAGACCACAATAGAAAAGATACCCATTGCCAAGTCCTTCACGGCTCACCATAAATGTGAACAGCAAAGTGCTATCCATCCTAAAATCAATTAAGGTGATGCAATGTTTAAAAAGCAATTGATTTTGGCTAATTTGCAAGTAGAAAGGTTTAGAACTTGAATAATTTCTTTCCCACTTTAGCTGGTTCAACAGCCTATTCAATGAGCTGCCTAATTATTAGTCTTGCTTATTTATTTATTTACTTTAGATAATTCCTGAGTGAGACAACTTTAGATTTATTTCAACCACCCTTGAGTAGGTAAGAGAGTTCACAAACCAAAAAATACTACTTGGCAGGATGAGCAAGATAAGAAAAACCTCAAATAAAAGGACTATAATTTTCAAACTGTTTGAAGTACTAAAAAAAAAAAAAAAAGTGAAAACAATTAAAGAGTCCATTTTGGCCTCCTTTTAGTGACTAGGTTGAAAAACAAAGAGAAGACATGGGAAGAAAATTCCATTAGGGTCAGATCAGGATAATGTTAAATTACTCTTTCTGTTGGACTTCTCTGGTCAGGAAGTCTAAAGAGCTTATTGTCTGAATTGACCATCACTCCAGTGCTCTTTTAAATCACATTTGTAAATCTTTTTCAGAAGGTTTCATAAAATAACATCTAATTTGAATGATATGATAAGGAGTCTATATTCCCCCAAGCACCTGGGGCTCCTCTAATACATGTCCCCAAAATGATTTCTATAAGAAACGAGGCAAGAACATTTTAAAAATTGATACAAAGAATCAGGACAAATATCCCTATGCACATAGCCAATATATCCTGCATTTCACATGTGTGTAGCTATATGTGCCAATGAGAGAAATATACAAATCCAGAGATGAAACCACATGGAAACATCAACACTAGTAAACATAAACATTTGCAGATTTGAATATTTGTATCAGTTAGGAAAAATGAGAACTAAGTAAAACTTTCTCAGCAGAAGTGGTTCAAAATATCTGCTGTTTGCTGAAATGCCTAATTAATCGGGTATTTTTTTTCCAAATTGTATATTATGCAAAGTAATTGCCCTACTTTCCTTTGATAAAATTATTGGTTTATCTGAATACAGTTCATTTAAAATCTGCTTGTGGTAGGGGAGTTTGCACCTTACTTTCCAACTTAATGAGGTTTTACTGAATATTCATACAATTATTAAAATATTTTTGTAGAATTATACTTAGTGCTATTATAGCTAAAGTTCTAGCAGCATTTAAATGTTTTTCATACAGAAATTTTAAAACCTGGTGAATTGTTCACAATTTTCATGCTGAAAGACAGTCTGTCAAACTGAAATAGCAGCACAATGCAAGCCATTTTGTGACTCAGATCTTGATTGCAGACAGCTGAGATTCAATAGCTAAGGGGGAACTGAGGACACCATCCAGACGTCTGTAATAATTCCCCTACTTTTTTTTCCTGCTAACTTGAATACCGCATCAGTGTGTCTGCCTATTTCGTGTCTCTATAATTAAACAGGACAGCAGCACTGATACACATCTTGATCATAAAAAATTTACCCGCTCACTAAGACTAATGAACATACCAGCAGAGTTATCTGGTCGGAAACTTTGCTTATTATAATTCTGAGGACCCTGGTTCTGACACATACAAATGGCCAACTAAAGCTACTGCAGAGGATCATTATAACCTCAACAATATCCTGGAGACATGGAACACCTTTAGCATGAAGGAGAAGCAGAGAATATCAGGATCAATGGATCCTTCTCCAAAGCTTGGAATCCTGCGAAATTCACATCATATTCTCTCTCTTTCTCTCTCTCTCTCTCTCTCTCTCTCTCTCTCACACACACACACACACACACACACACATATGCACACTCATACATGCATGCATATGCAATTCTTTGAGATGAATCAAGTAATTGTACCTTAATATAGATGTCCCATTTCTGCAGCACTAGGCTGTTTTCGGAAAGTTAAGTAGCAGACTAAATGGCAGTCTGCAACATAGCTGAATTCATAGTGGGCTAAGGAATTATAGTATTGTCCTCGGTCTTAATACAATTCAATGCTCACCCAAACCCACATATGCACCCCAAGACACCACACTTCTGCCAGCACATGAAAACACACAGCCAGCACTCTAAAGTTTTGTTCCTATCATTTCCCATGGCACCTTTAATCATACTCAGTCAGTTTTCATTCTGGACAACACTGCCCAGCATTGATTTGCAAATCTTTACTCAAGGCACTGGAGCTGGCATTTAATTAGGTCATCTTAGTATTCCATCCAAGAGTCTTTTTTTGCCTTTTTCCTTCTGGCTTTCAATGCCCAAAGCAATATCCTGCTTAGAAGATCCCAATCTCATTTCAATCCCCTAATCCTGAGAAGAAATACAGATAGTACTGCTATTTCATGTTATTTTTAGGTTCAAACACAAACATTGTGAGACTGTTTTGAGAATCCTCCCAAGTCTTCCTATGGTGTGCCATCTTCCATTGTCTCTTTCAGGTCCTTGTTAGGCCCACTAAGTGTTCCCGAACGTCCATTCAGCACATCAATAGAACCTGTACACCCTATCCTTAAGCCAAGTTCCATCATCTAACTACATAGCCCCCTACCATGTGTAGTCATGGCCTCATAACTGCAGGAGTTAGAGTGTTCAGGTGCAAACCCTACTTACAGAAGGCTTATTGAGTAATTTTAACTTTTCAAGCAATCACTTTATGCTATTTTGTCATTCCCCAACTAGTTCATCCTTATCTAACAATAGTTATGGAAGATTTTCCATCAACGCCATCAGTCTCAGATAATCTTATACCTGGAAAAGAATTAGAAGTCTAACCCCAACAGTGGGAAGAGTTGAAACTCACCTTAGCATTCTATCAATTTGGAATATGAACTGGTTGCATTTCTAGATCCTCTAGGTATACATTTGGAATAAGATATGGCTGGGCCCTGCCATCCTCACTATCAGGCATTAGATGATGTCATCTATTGACCCAGATGGAAACATCCACTATGAATATCCCTACAATTCAGAATCTTAACAAAATTGACCTAAAATATATAAATGTCAAAGACTGATCCTATCAGAAAGGGTACAACTCTGCCTTTACTATCAGATCAGTACCTCTAATGGTTGTTGAGAGCCACAGCTGAAGGGGCCCCAGCAAACTTCCAGCTGCCAGCAAACTTCCAGAGGTGAGGCAAAGAACCTCACCACCCCGCCTCTGGTACAACGACCTATCCACAGGTGTGGCTGTATGCTGGACCAGTAGTCAATGACGGGTAAGATCCAATTGCAATGGTACCAACCTAAGAGAGGAGGCTGACGCCTTGAGGTCAGCTCATCCGATGATGGGTAAGGACCATATGTACTATTGGACAACCTAAGGCAGGCACGGTCCCTAAGCCACATGCTTGTTGTTTAAACAGAGAGGGGGAGATGTTGAGAGACACATAGACGGGGACCCAGCAAACTTCCAGCTGCCAGCTGATGATTGGCTCACAGCGGCCCCAGCAAACTTCTAGCTGCCAACTGATTGGCTCCTCTGTGGTGATGCTCATTGGGCTGTTTCCCCGCCCTTTCAGACCATGGAGCTGCTCATTGGGGGACATTTTTGGCTCCGTCCACGTGACCCAGCCAATCGGCCTCAAGAGCAGGAGGAGGGGGGAGGTTGAGAGGCTTGTGGGAAGCCAGTGGTGGCAGTTGGGCTCTGAGGGTTTTTCCTGAGGAGCTGTATGGTGTGGTGTGTGTGTTCTAAAAATAAAGCTCGTTTCTTTTGACAAGTGGCTCCTGAGTTGTGCCCAGCCACACTGTGGCAAATGGTGATGTTTCAAGACCCAATCCTATTGTGAATTCCATTATTGATATTCTAGCACTACTGATGTCCAAGTTCACATGGCCCATTCATGTTTTTTCAAAGGTCACAGATACAACAATAAACAAAGAAGAACATGTCTCTGTCCTCATGGAATTGCATGTATGTGGAATAGACACCCAAATAAAAATTTTAAAACATAATGAATATATAAGGTCATGTGGTGATACATGTTACAAATTGAGTAAGGAAAGAGGGCATGTGCACATAATTCATATATATTCACTGGTGATATAATATCAGAATCCAGTCCTGAGTACAATGATACATGCAAATATCATGTATCTCTCTTATGAGATCTGCAAGATCAAAGATCCACAGATGTGTGGCTTCTTTGGAAACAGGATTATCTAAGGTTACTTTCACTTCTAGTTCATAGAGAACAAAAGGCTACTTTCATAGACTCAAATAATTGTTTTGATCAAAATGTACTAGAAAATCTTTTTTTAAAAAATGTTTTCTCTTTACTTCCAACGTCATGCTCTTGGTTTAGCTTTACAAAACATTTTCACACTCTCACATCTTATTCTAGGGATTCATAACTGAACTCCAAAACTCCCAGTCTCTCATCAGTCCGGTTCTTCCTACCGCTACAAAATCATGTTCCAGAAACAAAGATGGCGGCAGGGCATTCTCCCTTTAGAAAACAAAGTGATTTTTGAATTGTAGCCTTTGAAGTTCTCCACAATTTGATACTTGCTGACTTACTGATTTTACTTTCTATGTTAACTTGCCTAAACTGTGACTACCTATCCCCTTTCCAAGATTCCCTTCACCTGTATGACTCCAGGGTAGAATCTGCCACAAGAAAAATCTCCACATCATTTGGAAGGCAGATTAAAGATACAGCCATTCTTCTCCAGAGGTCATTACAGTAGGGCATGAAAACAAACAGTAGCAGAAGTGCTGGCAGGCTCCAGCTTATCCTTGATCTTCCAGTTTCTCATACAGTTACCCAACTGCCAGCTCTGCCGATGGAATCACAGGCCCCTCACAGTGTGTGGAGCAGCAGACTTCCAGATTCTTCTCCAAAGAAGCTAGAGGGACCAACATTCCCAGATCCCTTTGCCTACTGCAATCTGCCTGCTCTCATCGGTGGTTTTGCGGTCCTGAGGGTTGATTTCTCTCTGATTCTACAATTCTCCTTTCAGACCTTTAGTTCCCAAGTGTCTTCTATGGTTGTGTGCCATCTTACTCCTAAAATATATCTCTTATTCAACAATACTCAAAGTGATCCTGCGTCCTTTATTATTCCCAGATAAACAAACACACACATACACACAGAGGCCACACCCTGCCAAAGCATTTTTTTTAAAATAAACTTCTATTAAAGCACATATTATTCCACTATGGATAAGGAAGAATTAGCACTTTTTTCAAATTTTTCACTTTTTTTTTTTCCTTCTGAAATGACTGTGGGAATGGTAGTGTTAAGGGAATGCAATTCCAATACCACTTGTCCGGTATGAAAATACAGTCTGTTCTGCTGCATGTATTTCTCCAACACTCTAGCACTGATTACCTCCTACCCAAAACTAGGAGATAATGGAAGTTCACATGTGCTTTTTTTTCTAGGAAAAAGAATAGAATAGAATTATAACTTTCATCAAGAGAGAGAAAAGCCCTCAGTGCAGTGGCTACAATGATAGAAACCCTTTTAACACTGCTTTAAGAAAAGTAAAATGAGAACTTCATGTGGGGGCTCTTCAGAGGTGCTAGCTGCCTGGTTTTGCATAGCTGTCAGCTCCACAGCTGTCTCTCTTCCTCTGGTGACCCCTAAACGTCAGCCTCTCTGGCTCAGAGCTCAACTGTGTCTGCATCATCTGAGTACCCAAAAATCAGCATTTCCAATCTATTGTTATGGCAATCAAAAAAATAAATACATCCCCTGAGGGGAACACCAGCCACATTGAGCTGTCTGCCTTTGCTGTTTGTGGTGTATTTCCAGATATTCAAACAATAGTTAATACCGTATTAAAATTATATAGGAATTTAAATTTCTGCCTTCTATCTTTTTCCAATAAGTACTGTTATTTTTAGTGTGAAATTCTGAAGAACAAAAGATTAATTAGGGGAGGGGGAGTGTAAGGGGGTGGAAAGGATTGAATGATATGGACATTATTACCCCTATATATGGATACGAATGCACAAATGGTATAACTCTATATCATGTGCAACCAGATGCATGAAAAGTTGTGCTCCAGTGTAAAAAAAAAAATAAAATAAAAACTATTTTTTTAAAAAAAAAAGATTATTCAAGAGCATGTATCTGGCAGAAATATCTATGCAGGCCATTATTTTTATATGACTTTATGATGCATGAATATTGATACTTGTTTAATTGATTAATTTATGTACATGTTCATAATTGTGCAAAGTATATTACATAGGTCCATGTATATCTTGTATCCTGACTTCCAGTCCTCCTATGAGTTGGGAACTGCCTCAACTTATGGAAAAACATTGAGTGAAACTGACAAAATTTCCGCTTTAATAGAATCTGTAGATCGTAGGAAAGACAGATTATTAAAACTCTACTACAATCTTGCTTGGATGATAATGAAAATGGAGGGCTTAATGGAAAGCTACTATAGAGCGAATGTAAGGTGGTCATTCAGGAACATTCTCTGGAAGAAAGACATGTTTATAAATAAGATCTGAAAGGTAAGGTGATCTGCAGAAGAATGAGGAGGTGGTGAAAGAGACTGGCCTGCAAATAGACATCTGGGTCTCAGTGGCATCCTGCCGGTGTTTGAATCTGTAGAGTACGTGTAGTTGTTCAAGGCGAGTATGTGAAGTAAGAAAAAAATAATTTTTAAAAACTGGGATACCAATAATTAGGAAGAAAAAAGAGGGGAAAGTCTGAAGAGAAGATGGATGGGGGGAAAGGATGTCAGAAAGCATAACACCGTGGAAGCTAAATGAAGTGTTCATTTCAAAAGAGGAAAATTGGTCTTTGTGATCAAAAAAAGTTTTGTGTTTTCAGACCGAATTGTGTGTGGTCCCCTTTCCACATATGGCATTAACAATTTCAATGAGATCAGTTCTAGAGAATGGGCATGGTAGAGATCACAATGTGGTGAGGAAGGTAGAGAAGGAAGCTAAGGGTTGTAAAAGGAGTGGAAGGTGATTAGTTTGTGAAAAGAAGGAGGTAGATGATGCAATAGTGTGTGGGAGGAGGGACAGAAGGCAGAAGAGTTTTAAACACAGTTGTATATTTGTATCCACCTGTCTGTGTACTTGCCTCACCTCCTCATGACCTTTCTTCCTTGAGTAACCATTACAACTTCATCACTA